TGCAGTATTGGTTGGTCTTGAGAGTGTTCTCCCCTGAGTTATCTCAAATGCAATGCATCAGTGCCTAGTCTAGATGTGAATCAGTTTCAGCTTGGTAAGCAGTTTGCTTTAGATTTGGTTGTGAAGGATGAAGACGATTGGGAAATAGTTTGTTGAGGTGTCAAAACTACATCGATAATTAACAGTGCGTCCAATTTGACATCTCGTCAATTTGCTTGGCATGTGCATGGTGTGGACCAATGTAGACTTAACGCATTTACAAGGTGTACCGGTACGTGTAAGAGTAATGTTTGGGAGAGCGAAAATTCTCCACTGGTCCACACGTCACGCTATCAGTGTTCATCATTGTTCCTCATCGTCGATCTTTTTTAACAACAGCTCCCATTGGTTTTGTACACGTTTTCTAAGCGAGGTCGTAATCGAGGTCGTCCTCGATTTGACTCAGGACTGTCCTCAATTACTGGATGATGCTTCACATGTGTGTTCTCGATTTACACCATAAACATGCGCATGAACACACTGTACGTGTACTGGTACATACATTTATGTACAGTACAAATATAAACGTACCGTAGTACATGTACAAATTGTAAAGTTATTAATTTCATGTTTTTTTAGGCATATCCCTGTGCAACATTAGCATGTGGATGTTGGGTGTATTGTGCTGGTACATGTAATCTGAATATTAAGGAATCTTTATTTATTTATTTTATTTATTATTTATTCATCATTTTATTTTACCAGTAGGCATGTCACACTATTTGTTCAAGTATTAGCTATGCCGTTGAAATTACACTCATATTATGCAGCTTGCTGAAAGAAACAGGGAACCGAAAGAATTTTAAAATTGGACCTTCAGTTCTCTTTCTACGCCAAAAAGATGATGTCGTTTTTCACCCCTTTTTCAGCTATTTTTGGAAGAAATGGCCAAAAAAACTACTTTAACTCTTCATTGTTCTCCACCATATTAGAAAAAGCTAAGTTACAGCATGTTTATTATGTGTTTTTCCGATCTAAAAATAGCATTATCGGGTTCATACCGGTAGGTCACTAAAAACTGCACGGAATCATCAAAATAGAACAACGATGATCTCGCTGATTCGGCTGAAAAATTGTGTGCATTGGATGACCTGCCTATTACCAGGGTAGCCCCATCAAATATGTAAGATTGTCTTATCTTGACCCAAAACTAGCAAGAAAATAGACATTTAAAAGTTTGACAATGCTTTAGCACTCGTTGATTACACTGTAAAGGACATTGAAAGTTAAAAAGAAATAGCGAACAACATTGCAGTCTTTTCTTTTTTATACGTACATGTAGTCTCCAATGTTATGACACTAGAATACTAAATGCTCCATCTTTGACAATGAACATTGGATTTAGTACCAGTCTAGTCTTATGGTTCAAATTAGCTTCACTCTGTGACGTCGTAATTTTTTGGGGGGAGGGTGGGGGTGGAGTTGGCATTTCTGCACTTGGGTTCACCGTATCATTGTGTCACTAATTGTAAGGCCTTAAAGACTGAAATTTCTTCAAACAGTGCATGTGACCTTTTTTTTATTACAATGTACATCTATTTTTAGTGCGTACTTTATTTTGCATCATTTACATAATTAAACCGCAAGGGCATAACTCACAATAGGCTTTAAATGTCATCGAGAATTTTGAAAACAGGTGTTTCTATTAAATGAAACATCCAATGATGGTGAAAAAAAATACTCCGTTGTAACGTTTGATCATTAAAAAAAAAATAACATGTACAGTATGTACATGTACCCCTGGTGGCATTCATGTGGGAAATGGGTACCTAGACCGTTGTAGAAATGGACGTTATTGATTGGTGCCGTCATCAACAGAATGGCATCATTGACAGCCAGAGTATGGAACATCCTGTGTTGTCTACCAAATCCGGAAGTGACAGGTGTTATGAAAAGAACACCAACGATTTTGTTTGACTAAAATATTTCCCTACAGATCATTAGGCCGAGGAAAAAGTAAAAAAAAACCTAGTTTCTTGTCCCCATCCGCTTCCTTTTTTACGGCTGCCTCCTCTTTTTTTTCTTTGTCTTTTTTAATTCATACATTTGCAATATACAGGGTGAGTAAAAAAAAAAGATCACAAAAAAGTGCGCGTTCCTTCAGCAAAACGAAACCAATTCACACACATCCCTATGTGATTTGTTTTGGTTTTGCTGAAAGAACACTTTTTGTGATCCATGGACAGAACCTTAAAACGGTGGTTGTGTTTATTATTCTGTTCTGAAAAAGTGCATGAGTGATTTGAATGATTTTTGTACGAAAAGAAAGCTTATGAATTGGGCTTTCATATCCTGATATCCTTTGAAAGCGCTACATGCAGAACTTCACTAAAACAATGGTCCCAACATTTGGGTTTCGTTTTTTTTTACTCACCCTGTATTTTGCACATATACTGTCACATATACCGGTACTTGTCTTTTTATTTGTTTCCAACAAAATTGTAGCTATGTAGAAAGGGTTATGGCTTATAGAGAATACGGAAGAATCCATCCGCCATCTTGAAAAATCCACCATCTTGGGAAAAAAAAAAAAGTGTCCGCATCCTTCATTTAAAAAAAAAAAAAGGCCGGACGATCACGAGCTAGAAACTACTTATTTTTTTTACCCGGCCTTAGTACTCACAATAGACTTTTGCGCGCAGCAAAAAAAATGCCATTATACTAAGGAAATTGCTCCAGGTGATTTTGTTCTCTGCACACTGTTATGTACTTCTTTTTTCTGCGAAGTTATAAATTGTTACGAAAATGCTACTTGACTTCTGTAATCGGTGGTGATCAGTTCCAAATTGAAACAAATGAATCGTGCGCAAGTTAGTCCGAAAATTGATCTGCCGTGTATTGAACATGTACCAGTGTGTACACGTGTACGTGTGTATGGTCACGTACTTGTACGTACGCATATTGTAGTCTTCTGCGCTGAAATCAAACGTTTCAGAATCCAATTAATTTTTTTCCCCTCAGATTCACATGATGTATTACCTCTCAGCAAACCATTGTGGTCTGCTCTGCATATATGTATGTGTATCACATGAAACCTGTGATATGATGGGCATATATGTGAGAAAATTGCTTCGGTGGCTCAGGTCTGTTATTTTGCCAATTGAATTGAATTACATGGTCTGGGTACCTCACATGTGTGCAGTACCTGTCAGCATACAAACTGTACATGTATAGGTATGGGTTGGTTATCCATTCAGACTGAGGACTTTGGACAACTGTGTGCGATTTCAATGGGTCTGAGGACATTGGCTCAGGTCCTCGGGAGAATTCGTGTACAATCCTTATGGGTGCTGTCGAGAGAGAGTTAAAGTACAAACAATTTACAAAAGGGAACTAATGAAGGAAAGGGGCAGGTTCTCATGAGTATACATGTAGTAAAAATGAGCTGTGTGTACATGTACAATGTAAATATCGTATTGTCGGAAACTTGCTGAAATATATGTATAGAAACTGCTATTAGTGTTAGTATACTTAAATTAATTTAAAGTTTCTGTATGCGTAGAGTGTACAATGCATGCACAGTGTACTATGTACTTGCATGCTCGCAGTTGTTCAATTATAAAAGCGCCTGAACTTGCGTAATTAATTAATGGAAATTTCTAGCGTTCCTTTTTTTTCTTAATGTACATGTACAAAACATGTACGTGTGGAGTTCATTCAGGATTCTTTTTCCATTATTCCATTCTTGGAAGGATTGCATTCCACACTTGCATAATTGAGGGAAATTTCCAGAGTTCCTTTTCTTGAATACAAATGTACGTATGGATTTCGTCTCATTCAGGACTCCTTCTTCCGTTACTCAATTCTTGAAGGATAGCATTCTCTGCTGAAACATTGTTGAATGGAGAATACTGCTATACCGTGTCCTTTCTGAAGGTACACGCACGAGTTTTAAATAACTTGTTTGTCACGTCCCTATAATGACGATAGAAAGTGGGCATCCTGGCCTGGAGCCATTACATCGTTGCAGGTTTATGACGCAAGTTGTATTACTAGAAGGTTATGTTTTGATGGGGTCTTAAAAGTCACTGATACATCGTACATCCTCCCGAGTCCCTGCTAAACACTCTCGCGTTGCTGCTAATTTTATCTCCTCAAGAAAGCGTGGGGCCGAGCTTAATTCACTTGGCGCTCCGCACATGCAAGGGCCACGCAGAGGATGTTGAAGTTACAAGTAATTGGCCCTTCTTCATTAGATTACAGCCAGTCACAATCTTTTATTATCTGACAATTTGCACTCGCTCTGCGGACTTCCTCACAAAAGAGTGTTTTTTCGTGTCCGCGAGTGCATCCCAGTCAGTTAGGTCGTCTTGGAGAAACGTGAATTTTGTCTCCTCCCGGCATTTGCCTTGAGGAAGGTTGTCTTGGATAGGCGAGCATCATGCTCTCCCTGAAAAGAGTGACTTGTCCGCGGGATGATGCTCCGTCGCCGTCTGGTCACTGCCAGCACTGCCCCGGCATTCGCCGCACCCATCAGCAAGTACGAACCCTCCTTGGACATGGGAAACTGTCAGAATTAATTCCCTGCACTTTTTTGATCAAAAGATTTCTGTTACATTTTTCCACCTGATGTTAACCATCTGAGAGTTTTAAACGTCGATAGATATCATCGTTTGAAATTTGATGGACATTCGGTACATGTACATGTATTTGTACATGTATGTTCAGCAAACCTTAACTGGCATTTTACATTCATAGATGCATACCGGTACTTTCCTGTGGATTGAGAGTACCATACTGTCTGTGATCTTTAACTTTGAAAGTTAAAAACCAGTCATTCAAAACAGATGTGTTGTGTACAGTGAATATGCCACATGTTAGTGACGTCTGAAAAGCTGTTTCAATCGGTGTTCTGTTGAAACATTTGTTGAAGCAGGTGGTGTGTTCATGAATGTCGGTTTTTGAGTATTTGAGGCATTTTCTCTAACAGGTTGCTATATTTTGCTGGTTTTTCTTTGCAGGCAAGTTCATGGAGGAAGATCAGAAACATGGTACACTGGTCACCGTTCGTTCAGTCTTTCAAGAAGAAATACCCCTGGGTTCAGCTGGCTGGCCATCAAGGTAATGTGACAATGAGACGTTTTGTATTGCATTACTGAGATAACCCTAGCTCTCTCAAATCCTTCGAAATCCTTTGTGAGTTTTGGGGCATTTATTTTTACTTAGAACTAAATGCCCCTTCAAAATTCAAAAACTACAACTGTACTTGTTTAAAGAGTATGCCATTGGATGATTAGAGTATGCAATTGGATTTTGGCAGGATTTTGTTAGGGTTAGCAATAATAATTGATCATTCATAAATACCTAAGACAGTTTACCCATTCCTATTGGTTGAGAGCCCGTCACGTGGCCGGTCTTGAAAGGTTGATAAAAACAAATTGGCTGGCTGGTTTTAAACATTATCCCGGTGTCACATGAAATTTGGACTTCTATGAAGTTGGGTCCCTTTTTATTACCCTTTTATTGGTTGAACGTTCACATTCTTCACTTCGGCATTTGCAATACTACCAATGAGTCCGCATTTCGAATAATTCACACTACACTGGCACCGCCACGTTCTGCGCCACATCGCAGTACACGCCACGTGCCAATCTCCATATAAGGAGTTGTTTACAAGTAATCGCAAGAGGCACATACCATAACATAGCCTTAGGGTTGTTTTGAAAAACTTGAAGCAAAACTGTTGTACAAAATCGTTGGAAGTTTATTATTATTGACCGATAATTTTTGGTCGCCGATAATGTCTCTCGCCGAATATGCAGCGTCCATTCCTTAGCCGGTCTTAAACGGACTTAATTTAAAACCGGCCAAGCATAGTTATTCCCTTGATATTATAAACGTTTACACTTTTCAGATGCAGATTTCTTGGAATTGGGGAGACATTCCCATACACTAAAGCTTCTTTGTGGTATATTGTGAAAACGACGCTGATAATAAAGCCTAAATTAAGAAATGGCGATGGTTTAAAGAAAGATGGTCAAAACCACTTTGTCCACACACAAGTTTGTACCAATAGCACTGCGTGCACAAAGAACTGCAATAATGTAAATTAGGTATAGGGCCTACATGACTGCATGAAAATGAATAAAACTGCTTCAAAGTGCTTCCTGACTGGATTGACCTGAAATATACAAATCTAACAAATTATAGCGGCGTGACTTTTCGATCTTAACAAGATCTGCCTCGAGGCAAATCTTGTTGAGATTGAAACATTAGGCCACATGGATTGACCTGAAATATACAAATCTAATAAATAGCGGCCTGACTTTTCGATCTTAACAAGATCTGCCTCGAATCAGATCTTGTTGAGATCGAAACATCAGGCCACTTCAATTATTTAGATTGACATGACTGTCATAGACTTTGACAAACTACCACTTTTCGGTCACTATTCTGTAAATGGCCACCATTTCTTATCCTGAGCTTTATTTTCAACCCGGTTTTCACCGTATACCACCAACATCTTCTACTTTAGGAATATCTTAAAACAACTTCAATATGTCTCCCAGATTTTGAGAAATCTGCCTCTGAAAAAGTGTACAAAAAATTTGGGGCCACCCTGTAGTGTGAAAAAATCTCCAAATGTGCTAAGCTGCAAAAAACGTTATTTTTTTCGTCTCGCTATTGATAGTTATTAGCTTCTTGCTGATTTGTTATTAGATGAGAGCTACATGAATTTACAATGCTGTCCTGCTTTGTCAGCTAGTGCTTTGTACATGTATTCATCATACTGTATATAGAATAATTGTATCCCTTTAGCATAATTCCTATTTATGTAACTTATGTACAATGCAGGTCTCCTAATGGCCCAGTGATTTATGTCCTACATTGGCCTTGTACCCGCCGCCGAGTTATCATAAACCACTTGTGTGTCGGCCCTCTTGATTGCTCAAAGGTCACTGTCTATTTGTTGAATAGTGACACTTTAGTTAGGAAAAGTCAAAGTTCAGGTGCGCAGCCATTGATAGTTTTGTCGTTAGTACGTGCCTGTACTGGATAGCAGTTGAAAAGGTGGTAGTGTACAATGTACATGTACATGTACAGCTTCGAAGCAGAGCTGAGATTTCATTAGCATTACAAAAAAAAATTAACCTCAACAGAGATCTATAGACAGAGGTCAGAACATCAGGATGCGTTTGAAAAAAAAATATATAAAAAATGCTTGGAAACAGATGAATACATGTGGGTCAACCCTAACACTAACAAATGTGAATATGTAATCCAACCTAACGGTTGCCAATAAATATATTATCAACTGTATACTTTAGGTTTTCTACCCGAGGTAGAACCCCTCAACCTTGGTCCCGACCAGGGTTGAATTTTACCCTTGTTGAGCGCCGGTGTCCGATATGAAATTGGACTTGTATGAAAATCGGATTCCTTTTTCCCTTTTATTGGTTAAACCCTCTCACGTGACCGGTCCCTCTCCTAACTATCTATGAGCATGCGCAATACCACCAATGAGTCCGTATTTCATAAAACCTAAATTCATGCTACACTGGACCTGTGTAAAAGCTGTGTTGCATTCTTGCTAGTGTGAAAGGGGTTCTTGCTTCATGTTGGATCCGTGTCCAACAAGGGTGGCATGGGTGGCTTGTGCGTAAAGCGCTCGCCTCTCACCAAGGAGTAGAGTTGTGCGTTGGTTCTCTCCTGTGCCACGAGGGTTTTTCGCCGGGCCCTCCGGTTTTCCTCCCTCCGGAAAAATCAAACACTTTCAATCTCAGGCTGTGCTCCGTGGTCATATACATGTATGGGTCGATGTGGCCGGCAGCCATAGGCGCCTTTACGTGCCAGCGGCCCGACCACGTTGTAGCCGCGTCCTTCGCAATTCAGCATACCAGCTGCGAGTAAGGATGATTAGCCTCCCAAATTATTATTATTATTATTATTATAGATTGTCGACAGGTTGAAAGGCCCTTCTGCCATATTATTGAAAAAAACCTTTTGGGCTTACGTTGTTCATTTCAGGCAACTTCAAAGCTGGCGAGTGCGGCACTATCTTGAAGAAGCATACCCCCAAGGAGCAGTGGGCATTGAGAAAACTGATGGCTGACATCCTGAGGCCGTACATCCCAGAGTACAAAGGGGTCGTAGAGAAGAACTCGGAGAGTATCCTTTTTTTGCAGCAACGTTCCCTGTTTGGGCAGGATTTAGTGCCTTAATTTAAACCGTCCAATTTCCTCCAGACCAATCGTCTGCGTGGGTTTTCAAACCCTGGCTTTATCTCAGCTTTGGCGACAAGGATGTCTGAGGTCGCTGCCCTGGCAGGCATATTGGATATACTGGTGTGTCCACGCTTCACAAACGTTAAATATTTTAGTATTTGTGACCCACCAGCACAAAACCAGTAGGAAGTCGTTGGGTTGTATTCATGATTATACAAATACAGCATGTTTTGAGGGGAAGTAGTGGGAATTACTGGTCCCGAGGTGTAGGTCAGCTTGACTACCTCCAACACGAAGCGGAGAGAGTAGGTCAGCTTGACTACCTCCCGACGCGAAGCGGAAGGAGATAGTCAAGCTGATCTACACCAAGGGACCAGTAATTCCAACTACTTTCCAGAAATAAACCATGCTGTATTTGTTTTACTACACCTCATAAATATTTAGCAGCCTCACTGTCTTTTTAGTAGCCTCACTGCCTTGTCGATAATGGCCTTGGTAGATTTTGCATCTTTATTCAGCCCAATTCAAGCTCATAATCGTCACAGTATATGAAATAGTATGTTGCCAACACTCTTTACTGCAGTAGTAACAAGGACTACAACAACAGACTGGTTCCGTAAAGATTACATGCCATAGACTACATGTCTATGAGGCGGGTTCCAGAGGGAATTTTAGGTGCTACCAGAAAAAAAACTACCGCACGTCATTGAGTGGATACTCACTGGGATAACCTCACCTGGGCGCGTATCATTTTTACTTCCCGGATGCGTTGCGTAATTGGCCAATGACGCACTCCAATTTGATCATGAATATTTAGGAGGTGTAGCAATTTGAGATACAGCCTCAAATGTTGTACAGGATTTAGGCATTAGTTGCTAGAATGATAACATATTTCACTTTCAATGAAAAATATTTCTAAATTTCCTAAGGACTTTTTTGGGAAACCTTAGCGATAAAGTTCGTGCTGAAGTTGGAGACAAAATTAGTTTTAGATATTAGTTACACGTAGTTTTGTGACCCACTCCGTTAACAAATGAATTAAGTTGCACTGTGCATTATCATGTAATGGCCCGCTCAACGTTAAGGGGGGGAAATTTCGTCAAAATGTGATTTTCATTTGTTGTCATGAGTGACCCCTTTTTCACCTAAAGTTTCAGGGTTCATTCACAGAAATGTTGATTTTGATGAATAAAGCGGGGGGGAAAAATGCAATTTTAAGTGCAACGTGCTCAAATCTACAACAGAGCCAGCTCTTTCAAAGCCTGTTTTCTCAACTTTGTGTAATTGAACTCCGAGGAAGTAATTAATATGCCAATACGTCATATCTCCAGAATGGCAGGGGTTAGAGTTTCTCAAGTTCTCTAGCATTCAGCTGGTTTTACACATAACTTTGGTTGGCAACTATTGGATTTCATGGAATCACGGCTCGAGAGAAATTCAATGTTCAATTTTTACCAGTCTAAAGTGGCACCCGTGTTTGTTTTTCTTGGGGAAAAAAAAAGAAAAAAGTTTCCTTAATAACTTTTTTGCTATCAGAATATGTACAAATGCAAGATCTGCTTGGAGAATTTGACAATCCATCCGTAATGGACTGCAAAATTGGAACACGGTAGGTACACCATATTTATTCTGAAAGCATTCCTAAATTGTCACTGAACGCGTCCGTATGGTAGACACATTTTAAAACTGGCACCTACCGGTTCTAAAAGGGAAGATACAACATTTGCAAACATCAAAAAACGAAATGATCCACTTATCACGAAATACCTTACTGGATTGATAGGGAATGACAGTCTAAAGCATTCTGTAAAATTGTGGCTCCTGGTGTGCTGACATTTTCAAGAAAAATTGTATTTTTCCAACGCTGGTCGGCTGACCAGCGCTGGAGAAAACTGGCTATTTTCAAAAACTACTCCATATTTCTTATATTTAGTTATTCCACCTCTTCTTTGCAATTGATTACTCACCTGTGAATGGGTACAAGCCAGCTAAATTGATACTCTGACCGCACAATTCCCCAAAGTCTATAAATTGCTCCATTTCATCTTAAGTGGGGTCAGGGAACCAGACTACAAGAATATAATTGGTTTTCTTTGTTTTTCCAGTATCTACAAGCCAAAAACGTGAAACAAGTCAGTTTAACAATAGTTGCTAAAACATATAAATCCTCCAAATGCACTTATTTCTGAAAATTGCAGCAAAAGCCGATGTTGTACATTCCCTTTAAGAGGTCTAGAACAGTCATCTGTCAAGTTTGTACAAGCATCTGTTATAAAAATGAAAAACAAATAAGTGTATATCGCTTGTGAGTTACGGTAAGCAGTGAAGTATTTTAAACACAAAATAGTTTTGACACCTTAACCCTAACCCCCTTGAGTGATTTACTAGGAACCTTCCTCACTCCTGCAAATTCCAACACCATATGGTAAACTCAACACCCAAACTGTTGGACTCTGATTATTGGTGGTATGCCTGACACTGTGTAAATCATAATCAGTTTACTAGAGCAGTATACACTCACTCTAACAGATTCCAGCAAAGCCCACTGATGCCTGCCCAAGTATCATAAAGCAAGGGTCCTCTCAAATAATTTCTTTTGCAACACCAGCCAGAGCCTCAATCTTCAATTTCAAAATTGTAACTTACTAAAAATATACCATTTGCTAAGCATGTATACTGTATAATGATCCCTCATTTATGAAATACATACAATTCACTAGCCAAGCATCCATTTGCAGTAGGATTGGGGAATATTAATTTTTTGTTATACCTCACCGATCAGCCACAACCTCATGTAAAATGCATATGAATCCCTAAATTGAAATTCACAGCACCATGCTTGTACATGTATGTGCATACGTGTGTGGGTCATAGTTTGCCTGTCCCTGTAACATAGGACATCTATCATTCTGGATGCATTCCCTTAAAGGGAATATACAACATTTGCAAACATCGAAAAATAAAACTACCAAGTTTTTACAAAATACCTTACTAGGATGTTGGTAAATGACAGTCTAAAGCATCCTGTAAATTTATGGCACCTGGTGTCAAGTCATTTTCAAGAAAATGGTATTTTTGTATACATTTTCCAGTCGGCCGACCACCGTTGGAAAAACCTAACTATTTTTCAACTACTGCTCCAAATTTACAATTTTTTTCCCGACAGTCCAAATTTTGTTTGCTATTGGTTACATGTTCATGAACGGATGCAGGCCAGCTAGACTGGTTACCTTACCTTACAATTTTCCGACATCTATAAATTGATCCATTTTATCTTTAATGGAGTCAGGGAACCAGACTACTTATACATTTTTGTTTTTCTTGGTTTTTCAAGCATTTTCGAACACAAAACTTCAAACATGTCAGTTAAACAATATTTGATCTATTATACTAACCCCTCAAATAGTTCATTTCTGAAAATTACAGCAAAAACCAATGATATACCATTCCCTTTAATGCAGTCGTCCTCTAGGAATGATTGTACATAGCGAATTACCTATCTAACAAATCAATTTTAAAACAATGTTTGAAGTCATTCTCAATGATACTTGAATGGCAAATTACAAAGTTCAGAGAAAACTGGGACAGGAAAACGTCAAACATTGGATTTATAGAATGACCTGTATAGCAGTTAAAAAAAAGAAGTCCTTCATTTGTAGTTAAGGGATTTTTGGGGGTACTTATGGTGAATTGGTTTTTTTATGAACGATGCCATGGATCTAAATTTCCTAGTGCTGTGCATTTTAAAAGAATTAAGCATTTGCATATTTGCAATGCAAGTTTTACATGTTAGCTGAAATGACTTGTGCTGGTAAGGTATTAAATCAAACGCCAGTCAGGATTTGCATACATCTGTCAAAAATTGATAATGAGATCATTAAAAAACAAATTGGGTAGGTAATTAGTTTGGATATTTGAATGACTTACATGTAAAAGATGCAAATTGGAGCTAATATGTGAGTCGTTCTGGCAAAATGAGACAGAACTGGGCAGAGTCGAAATGAGGGTTTGCTGGTGTTAGGAAAGAGAATATAATTCTCCTTACAATACTGTTTGTTGCACTTTAATAGGACATTACTTTGACAAATTATGGTTGTCTAAAGTTCGCATTTATCGACATGTTAAAAATAAAATGCTGAGAAAAAGGCATTTGAAGTTTGGAGTTTTGTAGTCGTGAAAATGAAAGATGCCAAATTGTTTATCCTTAAAAACACTATTATTCCACCATTTTAATACTATTTCTGTAAAATGTGTGTAGTGGACACAACAAAGATTACAAATACCAATAATCTGAAAATGACGTAAAAACAAAAAAAGGCCCCATTTGGGTTTTTTCTTTTTTTCTCCACTACGGCCTGTGCCCATTTCCATCACATTTTGCCAGATTGCCTCACATATTCTTTGCGGAAACTCTCAATTCGTGCGTGTAAAGCCACTGTCGACAAAAATGTGGCATTTGGCAAAACAATAAAACTTTGCAGCTTAAAAAATTGTAATTGTACATTGCAGACATTGATATTCATCTTATTGACCCTGCTCACATTTTTCTTGGAATAGCAAAATTGGAATCTATGTGAATATGCGCAATATTTGGCGTATCCTTAAAATTCCCACCTTCATGCCCTTGCATTGTGCGTCTAACAGTTGTCCATGCACTACGTGAACGTCATTTCTTAAAAATGGATAATTGCTCATTGAATATTTCACACCAGTCTTCACTGCACGTTCCTTTTGTGTAATAAATTTCCAGCACCGCGGCGCTTTGCTGCCTGCTCTTTTCAGTAACTAATTATCTCTCCCTTCATCGTGCTTGTAGGCATATGCATGGCCATGGTTACGCTCGGCCATATTTTTCTGTCGGCCGTAGTAACCGTGGCCATTTCCCTGTCAGCCATGAACGCAAGATCTCTATCTGCAGATTTCCAATTTTCTGTGGCTCGTACGGGGACATTTATTTTTCACCGAGGATAACTATCAAACCTCGCCATCTTTTTCACGTTATATTGCAAGGTGATATTGTATTTCTATTTAAAAATAGGGAAGTTCAACCTAGACCCAAAACTTTCATAAACATTTGAAATTTTGATGTCAAGAATTGCCTTGACTTGAAGAACAAATATGGAATCAAGTTGCTGACGTGTAATGCTTCTTCCTAAATTTGCGAAACAAAATGGGTTGTCCATAAAATAACCTACAATGTGTCCAAATATCCCCAAACACCAATCTAACTAAAACCTTGCCTGGAGACAAATGCATCTATCTGAGATGCACATCATGTACATATTGCAGTTTAGGCCAACTCGTTCTGTGTCCAAAACAGACTTTCGAGAGCTACGGCTACTTGCATTGCCAGCAAGGTTCCAACGTAGTTCTAATAATCGAAGACCTAGACAAGAGATCCCGGACACAGCCTCTGTTCCATCTGCATTTACAGTGAGGTACTACATGATTAACTGCGGCAAGCAATGTTGATAGCTTTTGCGAACACTCGGCAGAGTCTCAAAAAGTCGTTCCCATTTACATTCAAGAGAGTGTTACAATTAATGCTGACATTGCTCGAGGAGGCTTTTTACTTTTCCGGTTTGGAGGATACATTATCATGACCCAGGGTTTTCGGTCTTGTAGATTAGCCTATAATGGGTTTTCCTATCAAGATGTCAGGTATATTTTCTAGATCTTGTTCGATCTTATCATTGGAGGCATCAGTGATACCCAGTGTTTTTTTTTTTTTAAATCTTATAGAAGAAATTCAAGTTTGTACCCTTTGGACATTTATGATAATCATGATAGTCATTATTCATATGAATGCCAAAATGAACCAGACGTCGAGCCAACAACACTCTTCATCTTGAGATTCCTGGTTTGCATTTTCATTTTTGATAAATTACTAACAGGAACTGGTTTTAATCTTTTAGGCTTGATTATTTGAAGGCTAACTAGGATTCACTCCGTGGTAAAATCGGCTGATTTTCGAGAATGATCACAAACACAAATTTATGACATTGCAGCGAGTGTCCAAACTGCAGATTCCAAAAAGTTGTACGCATTTCAAATCAGTGAGTCTTTCGTAACATTAATTTTTCTCTTCACATTTGTGTGCGTGTGAAGACGGTGCAGTCACAGTTTTTTGGTCATACAAATGTGAGTGAGGAAAAGGATGTATTCCCTTGTGTTTATGCTGATGCTTTCAGCTCCATCCTCCATTAGGGACCCCACATCTTGACCTCACGATCTGAAGTAATCCCAGAGTACTCATGTTAGAATCTGTTGTGACATATGCCGATTCCGTGAGACTGTCGATGACGTCCGGTATCCAGGGACACGTGGGACATCAGTAATGGAGTCCCAAGCGGAGATAAGCTGTTTGAACAACTGAATGGTGTACTTCCACTTACTTCCGTACTCAAAAAGTCGCGACGCCATTCAACTGTGGATTTTAGATGGGGGGGGGGGGGGGATTGGAACCAGGGCCCAAGTTCATCATGGCATTAAGCCCGGTTCATACTTCATACATTCGAAGCGCGTCCACAATTGTTGACGACATGAATTTCGCTTCGCACTTGCTTTCGCGTGAAGTATGAACCGGGCTTCACTGAGCACGTATTTGGCTTAATAAGGAAACCTTTGTCCAATTTTGAGGTTTGTTAAATTTGTCGAAATTTTAGATCAAAAGCTGGTTTGGAATTCATGCAAATGTGAAGTGAAGTTGGCATCATGAAAAGTTCTCTGCAAAATCACCGGAGTTGAAAAATGTGTTCAACTCTGGTGAATTTGCAGCAGGAACACTTGCAGTGACATCACAAATTTGTGTTCATGTTCGCGCCTGGTATGAACTGCCCTTTCAAGGTGTTTTCTTTAGGTGGGTGATTTAAAGGAGCATGGCATCCGAAGAAATTGCTATACATGCTCTAGCATTGTTAACAATTTTGTTAACCTCAAATCGGCTGATTTCGTAGTTTTTCACTTCACACTTTTGCCATTAAAAATGTATTAATGCTGTATAACAAGTCTTTAAACGTGGACATTTTTATTATTTTATAATTTTCAATGCCGGTTTTGTTCCATATCTGTACCAAGCGCGACTTTTCTACGTACTTTTAAAGGGCCATGGCATTTTCTATTTTTTTAATGCAGTCCTTGAAAATGCACCTTTATGTATCCCATTTTATAACCTTATTTTCAATTTTCTTTTTATACAATGCAATTTCCATATTTATGAACAAAAGTGAGATGTCATTTCAGGCGGAAACCTATTTCAGCACCAAAAGTTGCCAGAATATTGAATATTTTGCTTTCGTAAAATTCTGGTATTTGGTGATTTGTTGTTGAATCAGCACAAGACGGTAAACCAGTGAGCAAACCTTTCTCACAAACATTTTCAATAATACGCACATTTTCGGGTACACAATTTGAACAGAAAACCCCTAAACTGAACAGTGTCTTCCTGAAATGACGTCACAGCAACAGTTGTCCGTAAAAGCGTGGAAAACGTTAAATGTTTCCAGAAGTGCACTTCTCAATAAAATTAACCAAAAAGGGATGTCAAATAGTTTTCATACATTTAAGAGGAGTAGAAAGTTACAAAAGACATGTTTCTCAGAAAAAAAATATTTATATATGGAACCTTTAAGCATCTCCATAAAATCTCCCTGTACCTGTACTTCAAGGGAGTTGGTATCACAACTAGACCGTCACCGCTGCATATTTTTCCATTGCGATCTCACATGGCTACTTCAGTGCCTAGTTGCAGTACTCTTGTAGTCTCGTTAAAGTCAAATCATGCCTTCCTGTTCACCGCCTGGCCTTTGCTCTCAAGTGATGTTTCTTCGTTATTTGTTCTACATCTTTTGATCTCATCACAAGTGGCATTTTCCCTGACATTTCTCTGACATTTGCATGTTTGAAAACTAATAGATCAGAAAAACACAAATGTCAACTTAACTTTTACTTGCCGAAAGTACATATACAAAGAAAAAGTGCATTGTCTAGTCAAGCCCCTGCCCCCCCCCCCTTTCATACAAATCCTCCAGCAATCGCTGTTAATGGATTGAGGCAGTGCCGATGCCATTCAGAAGCAGTGCGGATGATATCAAGCATACAGAAGGGCTCAGTTATGCATGGCTGAACATACATAATGCAGGGTACAGCCTATGAACTCCACACAATGCATCCTGCAGAATCCTCCAACATTTTTTTGCCATTCAGCATCAATCCTCCATAGTCTCCAGGGGGATTGAGGAGGGTTTGGGTTAAAAATAAATCACTCTAGAGTATGATTTTTGCCGGTCTCAGATGGGTACCCTAGTGCGCTTCCTGACAGACTGACCAACTCACTGATTGTCATGTGCGACTCGGATCAGTTGTTGGCTCATAAAGAGAGCCAAGCAGTGCTATCCTATAGGATTACCTCCTGATGGGCCCAATCTGGCCCGTCGGGACCAGATGCATGAAAAGACGAACCTTCTGAATCGATCGAACAGGCTTTTGGGAGCAGCTTTACTGGGCTCGCTTCGTCTTGTTTCAAGACCTCTGACTTGATGTCCAGTTACAGCAAGGAGATAATACAGAGAACAATCTGAAACTTTGCTGACATGTACGTTATAATCATGTTGTTCGTGTAATTCTCTCCTCAGCACATACCTTGAAGAGGAACTGAAGAAGGCCAGAGAAAAGCCCAAGCTTCGAAAGGTGGGTGTGAGACCAGTCAAACTATCAAAGTCCTGATTTCATTTGTTTGTTGAAAGACTGATGGCCCACACTTAATCCAAAGAGGAAATTTAGATTCTTAGTTGATTCTTTTCCACCAGCACTTAACCTAGAAAGTTTTTTTTAGAGCTTACGTTAACCGTCCGGTTGCCTTTATAATACAATGTGACGTTACTGCGCTGCCTCTTTTTGATTACAAGGCCGCAAGATCTCAGATAGTAATGGCAATAAACTCCCTGTGAATTTATTCTTTCTGGCATGCTGTCATTTTGAAGAAAACAATAAAAAGAAGGCAATTTCCAAAGATGCGTCAAGTGATACACTTTTCGAAATTTCTGTTAGTAGTTGGTTTGTAATTTGGCAAATCCGTGAATGGGTGAGGGCGCATACATTGACACGAAGCACAAGAGCAGTTGCTATTATTCGTTAGTTCGGTGCGTGACATGGCATAGCTGCAATCGACTGAATGAGAACGTGTCCCAGACGCTGATTTCGGGCGCAATTCAAAACATGATTCTCTGCAACTTTTGAATTGAAATCGAGATCCTAGAATGTTATTTTCTTTTGAATATATAGCATTCACTAAGCTAAAACTTCTGCAGGTTAATATTGTCAAGCACCCTCCTTTAGATTTTGAGCCTTTTTGTTGCTTCAAACGAAACAAATGCACAACTAACAATGATCTACCCTACCTTTAAATCAAAATATAAATTGAGCAAAGGAATCGGATATGAAAACAAAAAATCATCTTCCCCTTCTCCAATTAATGTTGTCACTAGACTGGCCACAATTTCAAAATCACTCCACAGGTAGATAGCAAACCACGCACATAAACACGTTCACAAATAAATGTTTTGTTTGTTTTACAAAAATAGTCACTGCAACTTGTGCAGCCACAGGTTACATGTACGTCATTTGCGGCTGTCGTTTCCTGCTGATTTGCCCAAAGTGGCACGTTTATTTCCTCAGTATAGTAAGAGAGGTACATGTAGCTTCATCTAGGCTTGTGGTACGGTAGTTGTCTGTAGAGTATGGATTAGTGTTTGGTAGCTTTGTGAGTTATTCTTTTATTTATTTCCAAACCACCAGTTGGCAAAAACAAGTACCTTGTGACGTAGATAAATAAAGGTCTGCACACTGTCAATGTCAAGATATCCCACGCGATCAAGTCCCAGTTGAGCTCACAGACGCAACCCCCTCACCCTGGCCAAATCCTCACTGCCTTGAGGATGTCATTGGGTTCGCTCGATTTCACTCGTGTAGCCGGCCCCGACCAAGGATCGATACAAGTCTGCCGGAGGCAAACACGGGCTCATGTCGGCTATCTAATGGGCAGACCGTCCTTGCTCATTCATGTACAAAACAACATCGTCCTGATCTTGGAGTAATGATCGGGCAACTGTCGTGTTGCATTTGATTGGTTACGTTCCCTTGAATGCGAGACACAGATGCAGCAATGAACATGGAAAGAGTGATGCCATTAATTATTGTTAGAGTTGGTATTTTTTATCTATTTTAAAAAATATCATACATGTACTTGTACCTTGGGTTTAACCGGAAGATGCGGGAGATGTATGTGCAACTTAATATTGACCGGCTCTGTTGAGAATTAATTTGATTTGGCAGCTACGTACTTGGACTCAGTTAAGGAACACAAAATCAATTCTGTCTGTTTGAACTTATGCCACAGCCTTGAAGATGCATGTAAATTGATTTATTGCCAAACACTGAGGTAAGGGTGAACTCATTGACCGCTCCGTAGCCTGGGCTGTGTCTTGGGGGCCCCTGACTGACGTCACAACCATAAAATGAACATGTTTCCAGTGCACCGCGAAAACGCCTGACCAAAAAAATTGTTTGTGACGTCACTTTGTGTGGTGAGCTGACCATCATGACCACCATGGGAAGACGAGTGTTTTGGTCAATTTTACACGATTTACAAGCAAAAGTCGGGCAGTTACTTTTCCAGTATTTTCCCTGAGCAGTCGAGTAATTGTTTTGTGTCTCATATAACCAACAGACTGTACAAACCCCCTGTTTAAATCCTTTTGTAGTAACAAAGAAACGTCGTCTGCTAAAACTTGTTTACCTTTCCGCCATCTTGAAGAACTGTAAGTGAACCGATCACAAGTCTCGGTTCAACTTTGGTCGGAACGATAACGTCATTTCAGTGTAACCGAAGCGCCAAAACGGTTCCGAACCAGAAACATGTTTACGGTCACTAGGGCCAAAACGCAGCCCCAGTGGCATGACTATTGGGAGTGTGTAGAATAGAGACTGGGTACCAGATGTTTCTGTTGGCACTGTTGATTGATGCAGTACTGAAGGGGTGTTGGACTGGTTGTTTCATGTGCAAGTCTATTTTCGTGTATTGCATGTTTTCACTATCTTAAGTTTTGGGACTAAGTATCAAACAAGGGCACACCTAGCCCCAAACCTTGAGCACACCAGGCCCGAAACATGGGTACACCAGGCCCAAAACATAGGCACACCAGGCCCGAAACATTGTACACTGGGCCCCAACCATGGGCACACCGGGGTGGGAAATATGGGCACACCAGATCCAAACCTTGGGCACACCAGATCCAAACCATGGGCACCAGGTCTTTTACCATAAACATGTAATAGCAAAGTAGTAAAGTTTGTTTGACCTTTTACATGTGCAAGCTGGCATAGGTTTAATAGGTCGGGGAGGGGGGAAGTGCATCATACTTTAGCCCCCTGAATTGCCACAACTCCTACTAAACTGACGTCACCCGTCACACTAGTGCAGAAACATTGCCCACGCTTCCACCTGATGACGACATTTGGAGCTATAAATACGCCACGCTAAAAGGTCACGAAAAGGGGTCTGAGGATGTTGGTAACTATCGGCATCCTCACGGGAATAAGGCCGGTGTTGGTGTATTGACTTGGATCATTAATATGAACCAAAATACTGGTAGGTTTAGAAACTAGTTCTAATATTGTGAGCCAGTTGTGCGCTATAATTAGATTTGATATGATTAGGTTATTCTTGCGGCCAGTTTATTATGGTATGTTTGCACATCCGGCCAGCTGGAAATTGTTCGTTAATGAGACCTGTATTGTTGGGTCGTGGTTTTTTTTCTGCGGTCCCTTAAGGGAAGTATTCTGTGTCTTTGTTCCTATTTTTCCTCTGCAATTGGCTTGAGGTTCTAATTGAGGAAATGGTTCGTTGCCAGGCAACTTTCATGTAAATGCACGTCATTATTTTTTCCTTTTTTTTAGCCCACCCTACTATAGGATCTTTATCCGAGGGATAGGATAATTTGAAGAAAAAAAAGTAGATGGTTAACTACATGTAACTTGGTTAAAGCAATTTTGTTTTGATTAACTTTGGTTTTTAGTTTTCTTTTTTTCATGGACAAAAGCATTTAATGAGGAAGTATGAATAATGCTCTGAAACAACTTTATAAATGTATAAACATACTTCTCTTCTCCAGTTTATACTGCAAGTTCATTAAAACCCTCCCTGACTCAATGGCAAAATCTGTCACAATCTATTAAGTGACAGGTTTTAACAGTTTTGTAAATTGGACTGATATATTGGTAGAATTGACAGGCTGTGGCAATTTTGTGAACTGGATGGATCGGTACTTTGATTGATGGTAATAGACACGCTACAGGTCTAAATGTATGCGGGGCTAATGCATTCACAATGTAGGGTATCTGTGCGTGGCTATAAGCATTCACAATGCAAAGAGTGTTGGTACCTTGATGTTCTTAGCGTTGTAATTCACGATAGATGGTACACAGGCATGCAACTTTTCCTCGGATCCCCTGATTTCCTCGGTTTTTACTTCTCATGAATGCCATTACAAATTGAAAAACACTGTACAAAGTCTTGTGTGGTTTGGAATTTCCTCGTTTTTTTTCTGAATTCCCAGTTGCATGCCTGGGTACAGCCTTTGTGTCCCATAGGGCCATCCACGAACCTGGCTCGGTTGACAAACCACACGCGATTACAGGATGCATATATACATGAATTTCATGTATTTGTGTCTTAATTTCCCAATGCAGGACATGTACCAGAAGATGATTGAAATTGATCCGACGGAGCCAACTTCAGAAGAGCACCGCCTCGGAGCTGTGACCAAGCCACGCTACATGCAGTGGAGAGAGTTCATGAGTTCATCAGCCACTCTAGGATTCAGGATTGAAGGAGTTAAGGTAAACAACATTTATATACAGTGGAACGCCGCTATAACGAACATCGCGGGATCCACAGAAATTGTTTGTTATAGCGATCGTTCGGTATAGCGATTTTAAGCTGCCGGTGCTCCGGTACACACTTTTCAATAAATAGCGCCCTTCAGAACTTCACCATGCACGCCCTGGTAGTTACTGAAAGACACTTTGAACATGTGCTGACTATTGATCACACAGTTTTGAGCTTACTACCTATATCGATGAGTGGCTTTCCCCTTCTATGCCTTGGGGAAATATTAGCCACTTGTCGCTCTTCTGTTGATGGTTTTCAACACCAATGTTCGGTTGGTTTTGAACACAAAAATCGGGAGCCAAGGATGATGTTCGGTATAGCCGAATGTTTGGTATAGCGGTGTTCGGTATAGCGACCTTCCACTGTATCACCATAAGTAATAAAAGTTTAATACACTTGTCAAAATCCTCTGATGCAATACAGGCACTTTTGTTTTAAGATGCGTCGATTCAAAGGTGATCTCGGCCACATTTCAATTTAACTGTGCTATAGACCATTTGCGTTAAGGTTGAGTCGGAGGGCAATCACTTCGTTTTTCCCAGACATGCCAGAAAAGTAAACTCTTTGTATAGTCATTGTTACTAAATCAAAATAACAAAACAGCAACCTCTGAGATACTTAAAACGCATAAGGTGTATTCATTGAAAAGTGATTTGTTTTTTTCTTCAGGCTTTGTGGGATTTCAGATATTTTTTTTTGGGGGGGGGGGTTCCTATTCATTCAATTCATCTTCAATGGTGTCCTTAAGACAGTGGTCTGTCCAGTTTCTTGCATTGTCCTCATGGGATTTTAATCAGACAAAAACAAAGTCGTAGGAAATGGAAAGTTGTTTCTTTGTGATAGGGGTTTCACCTTCACTGCACTTACATGTACTTCGTTGAGCTGTTGTTGATGTACATGTAGTGACGATTACGTGATTACAGTCCATTCATTCAGTATGCAGACTTCTAGTACATTAATCAGAGCCAAAAAGTGTGAAATGTGGCTGGATAATTTGATCCAAACTTGGCACAGTAATGGTCACCCACAGGCACAAAACACAGCGTTACTAAGTGTGTGGGGATGGGGGAGGCTCCCAATTGAGGCCTGTCATAGTTTTCTCTGTGAAAATTTCATTTTTTGTCTTGTTTGTTTAGCTGTCGTTGCTCAAACTTGGCAATACTTACGGAGTAAAAATACCTGCCGCAGGCCACAATGTAAAGTTGTATTGTGAAGTCAAAATCAGAAGTCAGCCCCAACTTACATTACAAGTAAGGTCCAAGTAACAGGGCATGAGCAATAACAGAAATGCCTTTTTGCAGTAGCTTGACGCTTGACTTGAAACTTGATGTATTGTGATTTGTAACTTGTGATGGAATTTTGAGGACTTGTGCACAAGTCAGCCACTGTGTTGTTTGAAGAAAATATCTCGATGAGTTTAATGGCAGTGAGAACCAAAACGAACAGACTGTCTTTAAATTTTAAACCAAAATTCTGGGTTTTTTTTCTCTTTCATAGAAAGGAGACGGTCATTCTAGCCGGGACTACAAGACTGTACGCACAAAAGATCAGATCAGCGAATGCTTTAATTTCTTCATCGACGGTGATCCTTCCATCCAAACCAAATACATTCGCCGCTTGAAGGCCATCCGAGCTACCCTGGAGTCGTCTGAATTTTTCGCTCTGCATGAGGTACAAACATTCTCGTTGAAAAGTGTTCGTAAAAATTTGACTGATCACAGTGGTCCAAGCCTGCAGGTGAAATGTGATGACCTTGTTTGAGTTTGAGCTAAACAGATGGATACATTTTTTAAAATACACAATAATGCTCATGGTTTTGCTCTCCACAGGTCATTGGAAGTTCACTGCTGTTTGTGCACGACAGAACAGGAAAAGCTAGCGTCTGGATGATAGACTTTGGCAAGACCACCCCGCTTCCTCCATCCGAGTCCAATGATCATCGGACCCCATGGGTGGAGGGAAACCACGAGGATGGCTACCTGTTTGGATTGGACATGATGATTGAAGTGTTTTCTGACATGAAACCCAAAAAGTGCCCTGTTGAGACCAATTCCAACAAACCTTCCACGAAGACTGATCCCACTCCTGCCACCGCTCCTAGTGCAATGGACACTCAGTCAGGTTCAACCTCCACTGACGCTGTTGACACCACTCAACCTTCAGAAGCCCTTCCAATTTCCTCTTCCATCTCCAATGTTTCCTCAACTGCATCGCCCCCATCAGTCACAGCAGCTCCCTCGTAGCATTGGAACCTAGATGGGTCCGAGGACAGATCCAGGGTAGGACAGTGGTCCGATCCTGGATGGGTCAGAGGTCAAGTCCTGGAAGAGTCAGAGGTCAGATCCTGGAAGGGTCAGGGGTCAGATCCTGGATGGGTCAGGGGTCAGTTCCTGGATGGGTCAGAGGTCAGATCCTGGATGGGTAAGGTCTCTGACCCTAGATGGGTCAGAAGTCTGATCCCGAACGGGTCAGAGCTCAAATCCTGGATGAGTCAGAGGTCAGATCCTGGTTGCTTCAGAACTCCGATCCTGGATGGGTCAGAGGTCAGATGGGTCAAAGGTGAGAGGTCTGATGCCAGGGGTTTATTTCATAGAGCTGCTAAAGCACAGATATTTGACTGGCCTCAGTTGCATGGGATGCACGTTATTTGTGACAGGTATTTCCTGCTTAACAGCTCCATGATATTGGACCTAGATCCTGGATGGGTCAGGGTCAGATCCTTTAACAGATCCGACGTCAGATCCTCTAGAGGTCTCAGGTCGGAACCAATTGCGAGTTGATTTCAGGTGCAGATGTATGGCATGAAAACTTCATGCTCGTTTTTTCAGGTGGGCGTCCGTTAGTGACCCAACGTCTTTCATGCTGCACATTGAGGTGTTTTGCACAGATTTTTTATATTACGGTTCGATTCGAATGCATTTTGGTAAATGTTGGGGTCTTCGTTTGTAATAAACAAGGGCATTTTAAGTTATATGAGTTAATTTTTACATTTGAGGGTTTTTATTTAATCAATTTTTAATTAGTTTTCAGTGATCAAGCCTGGATGTTGAGGAAAAATATCTTTTTTTTCCTGAAGCATTTTTAAGTTCGGCTGGAATCATGTTTTCCTGCTCGTCATTTGACAATCATATTAATTTATTGAAACTTATACTGTAAATTTTTTGCACCTGTTAGCAAAAATTCTAGGAAAAATATGCACTTTTTATCAACACTAGTATGTGGTGGGATGGTGAATTATTGACATTTCCAAGCATAAGTGCTTCTGCTTTTTTTTAATTTTTAAATTATGCTGAAACCATGTTTGTACAATCAAATCTTGTGAACACAAACGTGTACATTCTTTTGACGCCTACTGCCCTATCCCCCTTCCAGCTCAAAACTCTTCAAATGCCACCTGGATATTTCTTTTCTAAAAAAGAAGAAGAAATGTTGGCCCTTTCCCCCCAAAAAAATTGTTCTCATCTTTGGGAGTGTGTGATTTTTTGAAAGGGAAAAACAGTTTTATTTAAAAAACAAAATTGTTTATGTGGATTTTTTTTTTAATTTGAAATTTTGGCACTGAAGAAGAAAACACAATTATAGTTTTTCATCAAGGTTAGTAAATCGTTCTCTTGTTTAACTGACCTTGGCCTGAGATAGATTTCCTTTATGATTGTTCAAAAGAGCAAAGACTCGAGAGTCGATCCAGCCTAAACATCATACAACTCTAGAAAGCCAGAAATAAATGGCATAAATGTTGGTCACTGTTGCATCAACAGTTTTTATTCATAGATTTTTTGTCGCAGTTTTTGAGTTAAAATTTCTTCCAGCACTGTGCCGGGGATCCTTGGAAAATGAAAAATTGATCCCTGCACCAAAATTTACCTAATCATCCTTTTAAGGACAAATCAATGCAGGAGGTGTTATCATTAAATTCAGGAACCCCCCCCCCAGCAAGTTTGTAAATGCCTGTGTTAAACGAGCTTGACCATGTGGCATATCTTTTTCATCAATCCAGAGTAAGACCTTAAGTACTCGGTGACAACATGCCTTTTGAAGATGAAGGTGGATTTTCAGACCGAACCACCCCTCATTTTTAATTGTATTAAACACGAGGGCAACAAGTACGGTAGCATCTTTGAAAGGGGGGGGGGGTAGGGGTTTAACCCAAAAGTGCAAAAATAGAATGAAAAAAAACGCAGAAAATATAGCAAATGCTGCTAATCTTCTGCGCAGCTACCCCCTCCTCTTGATTCAACCTGGATCCGCCCCTATCATTTGCCTCACTGTGCATTTTGCAAAAACTGCCTTTGTTCAAACCATTCACTTACTCTCATAGTTGGTACCTTCATATTGCTGTATTTACACTGCCCACTCAGAACACAAACATTTGAATTCCACACAATCACCTAATGAGCCATTTGCGAGTTAAATTCAAGTAACATTTGGTATGCTGACTTGCTCCAATGCTTGGCACATTTTAACTTTGATTTCTCCAGACCAAAGAGACTATTGATAATCACGTGATTCGGGGCAAGCCTTACGCTAGAAACCCCCAGCTACGGAATGGTCTGGTGTCTTTGTGCCATTCTCACCCATTGAGAACAGTGTATTGATGCTGAGCGTCTCTTACGTAACTATGCAAGAGCTTGCCCCGAATCATGTGATATTATAGCAACAGTGTCTTTGGTCTGGAGAATTAAAACGAGTCGGTGTACCAGATGTTATTCAAATTAACTCGCAACGGGTACAGGTTATTCGCAAATGGCTTATTCCACACAGACTTTAGAATTAAAGTTTTAAATGTTCCATTCCATGCAGTGGAGTTTTGTCCACGACATAATTGGGTAACTTTAAAAGTGTAATTCCTTTTTTTTTTTTGATGTCTCCTGCCTCAGGCTGTTGGTAGGGTCTTATTATTCCACCTCCTGTGTATTTTTTAACCGCATTCCTACCAACAAAATCACTTTCTTTATATAAATTCATTCAATTTTAATGTGTATTGTACATATATTTTTTTTAAGTTAAAGAGAATGAATGATATACAGTCTTTGTAACAGCCTGTGCCAATATTTTATCTTAAATTTTGTAGACATGACAGAGTTCTCATAATGGTGCATGCATTCAGCAAGGGTTCTATTTCTGGTATTAATGCTGAAGCCCTAAAAACATTTTAAGTTGCTTTCTAACCTCTTTATGTGGAACCGTTATGACCTTGTATTAGTAAGGCTGCAGAGTTTTCATAGTAAACCTAAGAGGTCCTTTCACACTATGTAAAAATCTCTGTGTTGGACCCAGGTCCAACAGAATCCCGTTCACACTGGCAAGAATCCAACCACAGGTCCTACACAGGTCCGGCGCTCTGCACGGATAAAATCCAACCCTGGTCGGTACCAGTGTCGAGAATATCCACACAAGTAGAAAATCCAAAAATCTACTTCCGATCCGTGTGCGTATGATGCGCATGGCTGGAACGTGCATTGCGGACGTGGCACATGTTGGTAGCTACATGCGCGCAGTGGCCGGGGTTTGATCAATCTATCAGACCCGGTGCTGCTTGTGGTTGACTCGTGTTGACCTCAAAACGGGTAGGCGTGACGAAAGTGTAAAAAGGATCTGTTAAAGAGTTAGATGGATTAGCTGTTTAGACATTTTGCACCAAGAATTTGCCGTCCCCGACCCCTCTTCCCCCTTGTTTCCAGCTCCCTTTGCTTGTACGTCAGGTTTGGGTCACACTTTTGGGACCCGAGTCTCAGGATTTGTGGTCATCTTCATTGACTGTAACTATCATTCCTGGCCACATCATGATGAGGCACGTTGGTCTATTTAAACCAGTACGGAAACTGGAGTGCCACTTTCAGATTAAATAAGGAATACCAGTAGTAAACACATTAGGTGCCCTCATGGGACATTCTCAGTGTTCAACTTCTGACTTGTCAGTGTTGTGGTATTTTAACATCTTTGATTAGTACATTTCAAGTGGTCTTATATTGCAAGAATCTTGGTGTAAACTTGTGTAATTTATCTCCACGTGGACGATAGTTTGTACATATTTAGTTTTACTATAAATGCACATATATGAGGGAGGAAACTGAACTGAGAATATTTTTTTTCGGTTTCTATCTTTACTATGCAGTTTAGGGAATTGTGGAATGATATTTTCACCATTTTATCAGTATTTTGCTACTATTTTTCCATTTGAATGTACAGCTATACATGTAATGTTTAATTGAACAGATTTGACATTCGCCTTGTATGGTAACAGATTTCCGTGAAATTGTAAAAAACTTTCTGAAGTTGCAACAAAAAAAATTGCTGAGGATATTTCAGAACTCATATTGTGAACTTTAGAAGTATCATTAACTACAGTACAATGCTCATTTTTGTATCCGTTTTTTTTCAAATTGTTTGATCTTTCTGGATTTTACAGTGTTCAAGACTCTATTCCACATGCCATTATAGTAATACACATTTTCTGTCGGACAGTAAACTCAAATTTGCTTTGCTGCAATTAATTGATCATTTTAATTTTCACTAGGGTTTTTCACGTCTTAGGTAGAAACAAACATGCACCAGACGAACAGGCATTTTTCACTGAGATCCTTTCTAAATATAATCGCACTCTTTCTCTTTTTACACCTAAAATAATCTTCAGTGAACACCATTTTATTTTATGAATTTCCTTGAATTGTCTTTAAAGAGAGAGGCTGCATAACAATGCCAATGTGTGATTTTGAGGACGTTTGTAAGGATTAGACGGTGTACGCCGTGTCAGAAAATCGCATAATTATGCGTCATTTTAATACAAATGGTAATTTTTAATAAGTTAAGGAAACATAACTTTCCAAAATAACTGGCATTTGTACATATGCCAGTTGGAAAAAAAAATCTTATAAATGAGTTGAATCACTTGCCATTCTTTGTAGAGTTGTATGATTAGAGACAATTAAAAAAAAAAGCAAATGAAAGTTAAACCTTTTCTGTTTGTTTTGTGGACTTATTGTTGTCTGTTGATTTTTTATTGTTAAAATAAGCCAGTGGTATACTACTCTAGGAGCTAGACGTTGAAGGGTTTGAAACGAAATAACCCGCTGCCGCGAGAGGGCGCTATCACGACCAACCAACATCACCCACGGACTTGTCAGTAGCAACGTCTAGGACATCTATTGGTTGTGTAATGGGCGCGCACCTGTTTGGCCTAATATATGCAGCGCACCATTAAAAAATTCATATTAGTTCTGCAGCAATCTCTCAAATTTATTAGAGTACAATAAAAGATGCAGACAGACCTTTGTGTAATTTCTCTGGTCGGCTCTTTTGTTGTGAGTAGTATGTGTGGGACTGAAAATGAACTACATAAAATTGCCAGCAGAAGTCGCGCATGCGCACTACTTTCCCTCGTTTTTCGGGGGGAGATTTCGGGGAATACCCTAGACGTTGCTACTGACAAGTCCATGGGTGATACTGGTTGGTCGTGGTAGCACCCTCTCGCGTATACAAGTTAATTGAACATGGCCAAAAGATGGCCAAGTGCAATGATCTGCGTTCCCTTGATCGCAAAAGACAGTGCGGGCCAAGTGCCAAAAAGCTGTTATTTCGTAATGCACCTCACCCGAAATACTCTGTTTACATTGTCCGACAAAAATAAATACCATTTATGGTTTAAAGGATATTTATATGGTTATTTTTTTTTTTCGTTGAGTCACAAAGATGTCAAAATAGTTTAACCTCGTTGAAGAAACTTGCACGTGCCCACGGAGTCGAGGCTGCGTGAATTGACCAATCGCCGTTTGTGAGTTAGCCACGCCCCTTAGACAACCCTATGATATTTTGTGAAGTTAACTTTTGTTTGTCTCAGATTTTGCATGTATGTTCCGCGTCCAGAAATATTCCATGTAATTGGACAATATTTCACAAGCTGCGTTGACGTGATTCTACTGCGATAGGTTAATTCAGCCGTGTGTTGGTGACACTACGAGTACATGTACATATTGCCAGCAGTTCTTAGTTTCCCCACACAATTTAATAGAGTAACACAATAACGTTTGGAACCACTACACCAGAGATTGAATAAGCCTCTGTACTGATGACGTCACGCTTTGTTTACGCGTGTGCTTTCCCATGGTGCTGGGTGGACCATGGGCCCCACTGGCTCCATAGGGAAGTGCACATGTAAACAAAGTGTGACTTCAGAGGCTTATTGATTGGGTTACTATAGGTGCATTTTTGAAGGGATTTTCAGGATTTTCAAGGAAGCATCGGAGGTACAGTAGGCTACAGCTAAGGATTTGTCCTTTGAACAAAAACATCAAAGAATAACAAGCAATGGCCGCCACTTTGCAACTTTTGAAAATGTCTTGTCATTCTATGATATTTTTTTCAAGATGGCCCTATAGCCAAATATCTTTCCCATTACATACTCTGGCTGTGTGCCAAATTTCATGCCTTGATCATCGAACTGATCAATCTTATCACCAATTTGCTGTGCAACTAGTTTTAATTTCTTCTTTTTCTATCCCAAATCCCACAGAT